GCGCGTGGCGGGCACAAGTGCCGTTCGTTCCCGAATCTTCGCCGCTGCAGGAGAACGCGCCCAAGCAATTTAGGTGCAGAGTTTGAACAGCGATACCAGTTAATTTTGGTGGCATGCATGCATGCAGATATGGTATATATACATATATATATATATATTATATATATATATGTGTGTGTGTGTGTGTGGGCATGCCGTGCGTGTGTGGCGTGTGTTGCGTGTGTTGTGGGTGTGTTGTGGTGTGTGGCGTGTGTGCGTGTGTGGCGTGTGTGGCATGGTGTGGCGTGTCGTGCGTGTGCTGGGCGTGTGCGGCGTGTGGCGTGTGCGCGTGTGCGTGTTGGCGTGTGTGTGTGTATATTATGCCGTTGATTAACCATGCGAATAAAGCCGTTAGGTTAATAGCAAAGGAAGGGCCAAAGGTAGCACTTTGATTCCGACTTGACTGATCCTTATTTACAGGTTTCTTTATGAATTACTGTAGCATATATAGACTGCCGTAGTAGGCATAGGGTGCTTAGCAAGTATAGCTGCGGCGTGCGATGGCTGCTGGAGAGGGCGCAAGGCATGCTCGCACCAACAAAGAAGGATCTCAGCGGTGTTCCTCCCTGGGGCATTGGGGGTTGCAACGTGTGCGATGACGGTCGTGTAGGCAAAGCGGTAGACAACACGAGTCTCAATGCGCAGATAGTTGATGCTGGCTGGTGCATCCTTATCTGCATCAGAGATCTTAAATGCTTACACAGTGCCGAGAGAGAAGATGGTGTGGAGTTTTAAAAATGTTTTTATTTGGAGTTTAAAAAATGTCTAAGGAAGAGTGAGTATACCTGGAGCATAGGGAGGGGAAGAGGGGAGGGAGATGGGGAGAGAGAGGTGGAAGAAGGAAGAGCAAGGAGGGGCAGGGGATACACGAAGGCACAGCAATGGTTGGGGAGGATGGATGACAAAAATAAGGAATAAACGAAGGAGAGATTCAGATGATAGATCTAGAAAAGGTGACCTACCAAAGTAGTAGAACGTCGTATTGAGGCTAGCGGCTGATAATGTTTAGGGGCGCCAATTGGCAATAAAATGAGCTAGAAATAGAAATCAGAGTAAACAGTTCAATAAAGTGATGTCAATCGTGGCTACATCTTCATTTACCACATTATACCGTTAATCCTAACAAATCGCGTAAATTGTACATGCCACATATATAGCAGCAGAAATACAGTCCGTGTACTTCACAAAACGTGATATGAATAATGCAGTAATCCACGGTCCAAAACATAGCCCCCAGCAAAGAAACTAACAATGCTAGAATACCAATCCTCACCTGTCTTATGTCGAGTTCGATATGCCTCTGCAAAAGTGACATGTGCAAAACATTAACAAACCTCAACATGATTCTCACGCAAGTTGAAAATTGAGTAAACAGTGCATTTGTTGCCACCACGGCACGCGCTGTCACGCAGTTTCAGTGAAGCAGAAATAAATGGGTACATCACCATACGAGAGCAAGCAAAGAGGAGAGAAAAAGATGTCACCTACCCTGATACAAAATGTGGTTTCCCTCGTGGTTGCTCGCTATTAAAAACACGTGCCGGGTTGGCTGAATTAGTGATGTTACACACGCTGTCACCCTCGCAGGGAAAGAGAAAACTACACAACCACACTAATCACTAAGATTACTAAGTGTTCACAGGAGAAAAAAATGTCCAATACATTTTCTACCCAGCATATTCACGAGGATAAAAATGTTTGATAAGGAAAAAATGCTTGAAAAATTATCCACTTTGTAAGGTTTCGTGCATTCCTTACAGTGGATATTTTTTGTCCTTGGAACTTTTTTCTTTCAATTATTCAGTTTTATGTTCATGTGAAACTACGTGTGATCAGGAAGTATTAACATTTAGTTACAGGATTATAACTATACACGTTATAGGTTTGTCTAGACTGGAAGAATTCAAAGCAAATAAATTATAAAATGCATTCTCTGGTGTAAGCCACAAATCTACCACATATATAGTCAATGTTTCATAAAACGAAAACATCACTTTCACTCTGTTAATATTCAACTGAAACAATTCTGACATATCACCCTTTGTACTCAGTGAAGGAAATCAATGATTGCATAAAAAGTTAATAGTTCATCATTATATAGGCATGAAAATACTTTAATTGGCAATAATTCTGTGCCTTAATTATATGCAGCAGTGCTAGGTAAAACGATTAGATGCAGCTTTTGTCTAAGCCGAAGAAAAGCATTAATTGGTTAGCATTGTAATCAGTGTATGTATAAGATGCATACTGCCCTGATCTATCCATCCTACACTAGTGACAAAAACGTTATCCCTTGACATCTCTGTTCAAAAAACATTATATGACGAGAAAGAACTATCCAGAATGAGAGAGACACTCCTCGGAAGAATAGGATCGACTAGGAACCCAATACCATTTAGCCATATCAGAAATTAAAGCCTGTCAATAAGTGTCTGTTAAAAATTAACAGGTTAAATAGACGACGTGGAAGTATTATAAGTCCACAGCACTTGGAAAAATCGTTTAACAGGGGGCAATTTTTGTTTCGAAATGTCGTGATAATATCAAGACGACATCTATCAGTATCAGTAATATCAGTAATATCAGTAATCAGTAATATCAGTGACGATAATATCAGTAAACGTACTCATATTAACAGTGAATTTACTCCTATTAGCAATTAATGCACTCCTATTAAGAGTTAATGTGTTTCTGTTAACAGTAAATGTGTCCACATAAACACTTCATTTAATCCCAATAACAGTTAACGTCTTCCTATATAATAATAAAGAATGTTGTATATCCGCGCACTAAATTTTATAATAACCATACATAAGGATGTTGACGCTAGGTGTCGCTCTCGTTGGCTGAGAAAACGTGTTTGTCTCAATTGATTCTACGGATTATACCAGAAGTTCTAAACTATACAATACCACATACGTTTAGGACAACGTATAACATAACATGGTGTCAGAGTACTAAAGGACCTAATCACGCACGCAACTCGGATTAGTGATATTTCGGATTTATTGCTGAACAATTTCCCTCGGAAAGTATTGCGCCATAATCGCTACATTATTATTAACATTATTATTAACATTATCAGGAGTAGATAATAACAATAATATTATGTGTTTATTCTCTGTTTATTCCTTCTTATTATTCTTATATTGAACTCCTTTTCTATCTTGTTATCCTTTTTTTCGTCATAACATAAACAAGAGAAAAAAAAGAGCCTGGCTACTATTTCCCTACGACCCTGCAAAACAAGAGGAGCCTGCGCGCATGCGCACTTATGAGCGTCCAGTTTCGAGCGAGCGTCCAAATCACAGAAATAGAACCGGCGTATTTGGACGCTCGTAGTAGACTACTGCGCATATATTGCGCATGCGCTGTGTGCGCCCTTGCAAAACAAGAGGCGCCTGCGCGCATGCGCACTTAGGAGCGTCCAGTTTCGGGCGAGCGTCCAAATACGCCGGTACATGTATACTGGCCATGGCTTTTCAATTTATGGATGGAAATTAGGGGTAGAGTATATACACCCATGTTGTAGTTGTGCCATGGTGTCTGTACTTTGTTATAACCGTGTATGTTCTAGGGTATAATGTACCCAGAAATTGAGGAGAACCAATGGAAATGCATATATTCATTGACCATTTTAACATACATAGCACATCAATGCTAGCTAATAATTGTATTATACAGAAACACTATGCAGCTTTACAGGCTGCTACTGCCACCTATTGGCAAGTTTTCTATAAATTCTGCCAATAACAAGTTAGGTATAGTGAAATTTCATTACAAAATGTTGAAAACTTATGAATAAAATCTACACCAACACTACATATAATTGCTAATTGCAATAATGTTTAATGTAATTGCTAAAGTGGGAATATCAGTTGTAGCAAAGATAAGCTATTATCATTAGTTGGTGAAGAAAGGAGATTCGGGCAACTCGAATAACGAACATAAGAAATCTAATCTACTGGTGGGGGCATAAGGGGGGAGGGGGAGACGTGTCACTGGTGGGGAATGGAGGGGTGAGATACCAAGCACTGGTCAAGGCAGAAGAGACAGATTTCTGATAGTGATGAAGTCAGGACAAGGAGATATGCCTGACACTATTGGAGGCAAAAGGGAAAGATGTCTAACACTGGTGGAGGCACAATTAAGAAAGAGTAACTTAACACTGGTGAAAGCAGAAGAGAGAGAGAGATACTCAAGACTGGTGGAGACAGAAGGGGTGACACTTACCGCTGGTTGGGTAGACAGTCTGCCTAGTAAGCGTGGCTCCTGATAGTGCGGGGAAGGAGTAGCGGCCAAGCGATGTATCGGCAACATAAACGTCGACCATCATGTTCCTGACAATCTAAAGCAAAATCCGACAATTAAAGACAAGAGTGAGCCAACCACGATGTGACAGCCCTGCCTGCAGTTATGCGTGCAGAAAACTGAGCGTAGCACTATAGTTTGGCAGTGCAAAAATCCGAGTCTAACGCTTGGTGGGAATAAACACCACACACCCTCCCTCAATGCACTATAAACCAGGCGCAAACACCTGGCACTAACACCTGGTCAAATGTTAATAGCTGCTAAAACATTGCAACAGTGAAACTGCAAAAAACACCTAAAATTTAAGACTGAAAGAACAGTGTATATTACCGTCTTGACTCACAAAAAAACAGTATAACGGGCAGTAACATAAACAGACCCTCATGCAACAAACCTAATCCCATAACCACTACATGTCTTCAGCAGTTTTGAGAAGCAAACCCATGCAGCATTGATACGTCAGCACCAAGAAATTATAACACAAGCATGTGCACACACCGACGCACAACCTGCTCACGTGCATCCACAAGAAATCCCTTTAAGCAGAAAATCACCTGGTATCTTTACAGATTCTTATTAAAATAGTTAAATGATATTTTCACCAGTGCGAGATATGAGCAAGATTGCGTAGCACACGTGCAGGTCTAAAGAGGAGAGTAGTGAAAGCTTGTGCATACCTACTAAACCTTACCGGTGAGGAGAGTGGGTAAGTACAGTGTGGCGCTACCTGCTGGTGAGTACAGAGTGTGGTGCCACATGCTGGTGAGTACAGAGTGTGGTGCCACATGCTGGTGAGTACATAGTGTGGTGCCACATGCTGGTGAGTACAGAGTGTGGTGCCACATCCTGGTGAGTACAGAGTGTGGCGCCACATCCTGGTGAGTACAGAGTGTGGTGCCACATCCTGGTGAGTACAGAGTGTGGTGCCACATCCTGGTGAGTACAGAGTGTGGTGCCACATCCTGGTGAGTACAGAGTGTGGTGCTACCTGCTGGTGAGTACAGAGTGTGGTGCCACATCCTGGTGAGTACAGAGTGTGGTGCTACCTGCTGGTGAGTACAGAGTGTGGTGCCACATCCTGGTGAGTACAGAGTGTGGTGCCACATCCTGGTGAGTACAGAGTGTGGTGCCACATGCTGGTGAGTACAGAGTGTGGTGCCACATCCTGGTGAGTACAGAGTGTGGTGCTACCTGCTGGTGAGTACATAGTGTGGTGCCACATGCTGGTGAGTACAGAGTGTGGTGCCACATGCTGGTGAGTACAGAGTGTGGTGCCACGTCCTGGTGAGTACAGAGTGTGGCGCTACCTGCTGGTGAGTACAGAGTGTTGCACCACATCCTGGTGAGTACAGGGTGTGGCGCTACCTGGTGGCAAGTATTAATTGTGGCGCTACCTGCTGGTGAGTACAGCGTGTGGCGCTACCTGCTGGTGAGTACAGAGTGTGGCGCTACTTGCTAGTGATTACAGCGTGTCCTGGTAAGTACAGAAGGTCTAGAGCTACCTGGTGGCAAGTAGGGACTGTAGCGTGGCACTACCTGGTGGCAAGTATTAATTGTGGCACTACCGTAAGCACAGAGTGTGGTGCTACTTGCTGGTGAGTCCTGGTAAGTACAGAGGGTGGAGCTACCTAGTGGCAAGTAGGGACTGTGGCGCTACCTGCTCGGGTTTAATGAAGAGCTTGTGCTGGAAGGCTCCATTTTCTCGCTGCAGCAGCTCCTCGTACGTGACGTTGACACCCAGCTCACTAGTCGCAGGAACATTCAACTTCACGCGAAACTCGTTTGATCTCCTGTAACTACAAAAGTAAAGCAATATACACCAAGCAAAAAAAGACACTATAGCACGGCATGAATTTTAACCCGGTGTGTACAGAAAGTGCTTGGGTTGCATGCCCTCCTTATTTATTGTGGTTACCACCTCATTTGGGGTGGTAGCTCAAAAATCTGGATGACATCCATATATTTGTCGTAAGTGCCCTGCATGCATGG